CTACAGCATAAGCGTTGGTCTGTGGACCATACGAGATAACTTCATATTTTCAAATAGTAAGAGCCTCGTTATAATTAAACCGACTGAATATTATTTTCACATCAAGGTTAAAAAATATCGCATTAGGACAACTTCACACTTATTCTGATTAACCATGCTACGCCACGACTCCAAACTACAGTTGCAGCTGGAAGAAACCTCGAAGCCCAACATCCTCATCCCGAGCTACAATAATTTGATACCACATCCATTGGTTTTCCTTTCGGAATCATGGTGTTTTGGAATAAGGTTTTCATTGATAACCCTCACCGCTTCCATATATTCCATGGGTTATCCATTTGATAAGTTGATCATACCATCTGAAAAATCTTACCCATCGGTGGTGAAACCAACAGTCACATCTGCATTTCACTCACTTTCTGAAGTTTACCGGTTTAGAGAAAGACTAAGCATACTTTAAACAGAAGTCGTTTAAATTGGTCGATTTGCATCGCAACTGAAAGAAATACAATCGCGGTCAGGAACAGCGATCTGTAGATGGCAGCATTTGTAATAATTTAATGAAGTTCCACATAGGTTCATTCTAAAAATCTGAACACGCATCAATTATGTAACCTATTTTAGAACTACTCAGTGACCAGCCCGATTTTACACATCGTTCAGTCATGCGTACTGCTTGTCAACTAGGCGTGCGTATTATACTTATATTTTCTTTATTTTTGTTTTCTGGCAAACAAATTGTGAAACAGTATTTCATCTTGAAATCCGTTTTGACGTTACGAATAAACTGTGAAGAAGGTCACGCAAAAGAAACGCGGGCAGTGATGCAGTCAATTGAAGGATAATCCCAGTGAAAAAGCAGTATAAAAACTATGTATACTGAACAGGATTCTTGGTCGATTCAAGTCGCATTGCGATCGTATTCCACTTCCAGGTCACTGAGGCTTTACAACACGACAATAATGAGGTCAAGTGGAAATATTGCGTTTTATCCAACTTAATTACCGTCATCTGCTTTTTATTTCATTTACTCACCCACCGTTAATTGATGAGGGTATTTCTCAAGAAAGATTGTTTTCTTCTATGACCGTGGTTAGTTATACAGTTCCATCAAAATCATTCAAAAGACGATTTTACTTCAAACTTCGAAATACTAACCAATTTCTGTTGATCAGGCAATGAATGCTGTTAGTTTGATCTGCAATCTTATACTCCAATATCCGTATCTTTTTGTTCACACGCCAGGAAACATAATCAATGATAATTCGGTTGAAGCGTTAATTTACCTAAATAGATGATTGAATGGAGCGAAAATCATCTGATTTGTGTGATATTGAAGCGTGTTACAGTGTGACACACGGACCAGGAGGTCAATCGAATGATGTCACTGGGGCCTACACTTATCTGCTTTCGGTCGTTTTTCAGTCAAATTATTTTAGTTTTAATTTATTGATTTTACTCACCCGAAAGTAAAACGAATAAAACCAAAATGTCTCCAAAAGCCTCAGTGTGGTCGGGGGTGTGTTTAGGGTTTTGGCTGGTCCCCCTTCCCTTGCACTACGCGAAATGCTCCCATACGACCAAGCGTCAAAAAAGCCTCTGCTGAGGAAGCCCTACTCACTGCCTTCTTGTGAGCGAGGTGTTTTCCCACCGAAGAGAGAAGACGAAAAGCCGACATCCGGCGCTATAACCGGGTTAGTGGACCACTGGCAGTTCACCTAGGGGAGTTGGCCAAAACCCTGATTCCAAAGCAACTAACAGGAGCCGTACGAACCTCACACACCTTCGCGGTTGTGGCAGTGGTCGCCGGCTCGATTGGGCACCTTGGACGTTGAACCCGTTTCAAAGGGCGTATGATCCGATGAACTGGACACCAGCCCCCAATGGATTGCTGTTTCCGCACACCGCCCCGCTGCCTTGCGCGTCCGGCTGGGG